CTACACTACACTACACTACACTACACTACACTACAATACACTACACTACATATCTAATCAGGAAATACATATAAGCCTTTTTAAATGCAACATATAAAAGAATTTGAATTTTATTAAAGCACGCATGTAAAAACATTGAAAGGAATTGTAGACTAACTTGAATACGTGCGTGTTAACCTGTAACGCAATCATTAGAAATATACAAAGAAAACCTTAATAGGAAATATTCCCGCATTTTTCAACGTTACCAAACCAAACCAGGAAGTAAAACCAAACCAAATGAAAACCAGCACACATTAAATCTGTTAGAAAAGAAGATATAGAACATTAAACATTTTGTATCAGTGAGAACAGAAGATTCCAAAAAAAGGATAAAATAAAAAATATAAAAATATAATAATTTCAAAATTAGAATATTTACATTTTGCGATTTAAACTTTACAAAAACAGTTTATTTTTTTAAAAGGGAGATAATTTCTTTAACAAATTTTACAGATTTGTTATTAAAATATCTTTTAATTACACAAATACTAGCATACTGGTTTAAAGTATGCCTTAAAAGTGGAATAATGAAATAAATAATGTCTGAACAAATAAAGGTAGGTAGGTGGTCGAGGTGGGAGGTGGGAGGTGGGGAGTTTAAATAAATTTATAATTCGGCTTACTCAAATGTTCTGTGCAAGGGAATTGTTAAAAGGGGGAAATATGACAAGTACAGTGGGGGAATATAGAGGGGGCGGGGGGAAGAGTGGAGGTAACATAACCCTACCTAAACATACAGGAGGGGAGCCAATCCATTTCCCATCAGATCCACATTCAACACTTGGAGGACCAGACAATAGGTACCCGTCCAAACACCTAGATAGGTAGGTATACAGATAGGTATTGAAAGGAAGTAAAAAGGTAGATAGGTAGGTAGAAAAGTAGGTAGATAGGTTTAAAGGGAAGATAGAAAGGTAAGTAGAAAGGTAGGTAAAAAGGTATGTAGGTGTAAAAGGTATGTAGGTAGGTAGGTAGGCAAATGGGTAGGTAGGTGGTTGAGAGGTAAGTAGATAAATAGGAAGGTAGGTATATAGAGAGGAAGGAAGGTAGGTAGGTAGGTAGGTAGTAAGGTAGGTAGGGAGGTAAAAAGGTAGGTATGTAGGTAGTTTGGTATGTAAGTAGGTAGGTAGGGAGGTAGGTTGGTAGGTACTAGGTNTGCAAGAAAGAATAAAGGGACGAAAGGAAGGAAAGTATATAGGGAGCTAGTTTAGAAGGTATTAAGGTAAAAAGGTATTTAGGTAGGAAGAAAGGCATATAGATAGACAAGTAGTTAGTTTTACCAATAAAGTACAACACAACGATTGTTATAACTATAAAGTACAACAAATATAATACTATATAAAGGTATTTATAGCTATATAGTAACGTACAAAGGTAGTTATAGCTATATAGTACAATATTAAGGTAGATTTAGCTATAAAGTACAATACTATTTATAGCTATATAATGCAATACAAAGGTAGTTATGGCTATATAGTACAATGCAAAGGTAGTATAGCTATACAGTATAATACAAAGGTAGTTATAGCTATATAGTAAAATACAAAGATAGCTTTGACTATATAGTACAATACAAAGATAGTTATAGCTATATAGTACAATACAACGGTAGTTATAATTATAAAGTACAATGCAAAGGTAGTTATAGCTATATAGTTCAATTCAAAGAAAGTTATAGCTATATAGTACAATTCAAAGGAAGTTATAGCTATATATTACAATTCAAAGGTAGTTATAGCTATATAGTACAATACAAAGGTAGTTATGGCTATATAGTACAATACAAAGATAGTTATAGCGATATAGTACAATTCAAAGGTAGTTATAGCTATATAGCACAATACAAAGATAGCTATAGCGATATAGTACAATACAAAGGTAGATATAGCTATATAGTACAATTAAAAGGTAGATATAGCTATATAGTACAATGCAAAGGTAAATATAGCTATATAGTACAATGAAAAGGTAGTTATAGCTATATAGTACAATTCAAAGGTAGTTATAGCTTACAGAACAATACAGCGGTAGTTATAGCTATATAGTACAATTCAAAGATAGTTTTAGCTATATAGTACAATACAACGGTATTATAACTGTATAGTACATTACAAAGGGCGGGTAAACGACGGGAGTAACTATGACTCCCTTGGAATAGTATAGGAATAAACCTGTAAGATTAAAAAAAAGCATAAAAACAAATCTCCAAATTTTGTAAATGCTTACTTTTCAGAGGAAAAACTTGAACCTCACATAATCCAAAATATTCCTGCTCTTCTCTATCATCTCTAAAAAAAATATTAAAATTTTTAAAATGTTAAAAAAAAAATATCTAAGAAAATTATTTTTGATTTTTATTACCACCTTTTGAAAAACTTTACCTTTATCTTTACCTATTGGTTTCCTAAAATGCGATTTATACGTTTCTAAAAAAAATTCGAGCATTTTTTCCGAAAAACGATAAAATTGAAAATATCCTTCTTCAAAGATGAATTAAAAAAAAATAAATTGATTTTATTTGGACGATAGATATTATTAAAATCTATGATTTTTATTATGTTAGGGAAATACAAAAATTAATAATGTTATTATATTTAATCTAAATACTTTGCTTGTTTGTTTGTCCGTTTGTATCCAATAAACGTCAAAACGGCTGAACGGATAAGGACAACATTTGTTGTGGGACATCACGTGACCCCAGGAAAGGTCTATAGATGATCAAAATTAAAAAAATTTTCCTCCAACAAAATTCGATTTTGCCTCCCATAATTAGAATATTTTTAAATTTTGAAAACCACGATGATTACAATTAAAATAGAAGATGGATGCGAAGCGCCCTAAAAGCTTAGTTCTGTTAAATTTAGAGCATATGTATTCAAATTGAAATACCATATGCTAAACGCGAATATGCGTAAATTTAGACAAACCACCCCTTACTTGCAAAAATTAATAAAGAGCTGTGGTTAAATAAAGCTTCATATATGCTTACGTACATATCTCAACATGTATATTTTACAATGCAATTTACAGTGTATTCTAAAAAGTTGGGAAATTCAGTCCTAATCTGAAAGATCCGGAATATATATATATTATATATTACATTTATATATATATATTCTTTTACCATCTTGGATTTCAACCATTAACCAATTTAACCATTTCTACCACAATGGTTTTACATTTCAAGTTCACAATTATATTGTATCATTATCATGAAGATTTCAACTTATGTAAGACTATTTAAAATAAACAAGTTTAATATTTTTAACAACTCTTTAACTGACCAATTCTTTTATTCATAAAAATTTCAAAAATGTTAGATTTTGTTTTTTTACCTAAATTTTTAAATAAAATAAAAAATCGAATTCCACTAATCCCATTTTCTGACGTGCTAAATATTTTCAGAGGTTCTGTACTGTACAGCTAAACTTTTTTGGAGGGTCTGTACCGTAAAATCATTAATTGAATAGTTCAAAGTCCAAAATTTGGAACCAAAAGATGTATTCTTCATACCTGCGGCCATTTTATAATATAAACGACATCTTATTATTTCCCCGCTTTATAATTTTAAAACGTTAAAAAGTAAAATCTACAAAACCCCTTTCTCTGTGGACGCTGGTTCATTTGAAAACCCGCACCGTCTTTTATTCAGCTTGGGAAAATTGTACGTACAGATTGTAAGAGGGAAACCGGTACAGTACACAAAATGAATCAACATTCTTGTGAGATTATTGCAATGTGAAAAAATCAAGAATTTACCTGATATAAACAAATTGTCCAGTGTGCCCGAGACCATCGTTACACAAAAAAACAGCTCTGAAAAACAAATGCTTAAATACTGTTTCCTCTTGACAAACAATAAATAAGAAAAATTGTAAAGAAAAAAAAGTTTTATATTTAGAATTTTTACATTTTTGAAAATATTCTTAGAAATAGCTGAACAGATATTGAAATGTTGTAAAATTTCTTCTAAAAGATTTCAAAATAAAAATTTATTAAATTACATACAATTACATTATCAATATTAGAATTTCAAAAGAAACCCCTAAATTACCATTTTAGCTAAAACATCTGCTTAACAAAAAAAAGATATTAATAAAAAAATACTAAAATAAAACTATACCGTAGGGTTTCATATTGTCCATCAAACTTGCTGCAGGGTTTATAAAGTGCTTTATTTCCTTCCAGCAACTCTAGGGATATAATAAATTTATAATCTTGTAAAATGTCAAATTTTTGCAAAGTTACTTGTACAACTTTGTGACTTTGTGTCTTCTCTAGTTTTCATTTTATGAAACCTAAGAAAATTTACTTTAATCTGGTAGTTTGTCAAACTAGCTTGGCAAACTAGCTTAACAAACTAGCTTGATAAACTTGGTTGACAAACTAGCTTCACAAACTAGCTTGATAAACTAACTTGATAAACTAGCTTGCCAAACTAGCTTGAGAAACTATCTTGATAAACTATCTTGACAAACTAGCTTGATAAACTAGCTTGATAAACTAACTTGATAAAATATTGAAAAACTAGCTTGACAAACTAACTTAACAAACTAGCTTGTCAAACTAGCTTCACAAACTAGCTTCACAAACTAGCTCGACAAACTAGCTTGACAAACTAGCTTGATAAACTAGCTTGTTAAACTAGATGTCAAACTAGCTGTCAAACTAGCTTCACAAACTAGATTGAGAAACTAGCTTGACAAACTAGCTTGAGAAACTAGCTTCACAAACTAGCTTGAGAAACTAGCTTCACAAACTAGCTTCACAAACTAGCTTCACAAACTAGCTTNTATGGAAAGAGTATGTCCCTTCTAAGGACCAGATTATGGAAAGAGTATGTCCTTTATAACATTTTTTAATATTTTTTATATTTTTTATAACATTTTTTAATATTTTTTCTAATTTAGACCTTTTCCTTTTGACGTTTATTGGAAACGAACAAATTAAGATTCAAACAGTCAAACCAAAAAACAATGTTTTTTTCCACAAACCCAAACTTTCTGATCTCTATATCGTTGCAACCTGATGGTGTAAGCCTGTAATGTTTAAAGCTTAGAAAAATTCAAATGTTGAAAATATCAAAGGTCTATGACATTGGATTGCAAAGATATAGGGATTCAAAAAAATCAGAGTTATTTTATGCATAATTTATATATATAACTCACCTATTACAAAAATTGTAAAATGTTGGTAAGAACCAGGGCTTATTGATACAGCAACATATTCTATATTAGTTGCCTCCCCCAGATGAACCTTAAATAAGAAATAAAAAAAATATTATTTAAAATGTTTATTAATATAATATAAATGTAACTTTTATTTATGCACAGCATTCTCAAGTTACAAGATCCGTGCCGGTACAACATGTATTGTATATGCATTCAGTTGTACCGTTCAGTCTGAACTACCCAGTGTAGCCTGACAGTGACAAGAATCACACTATCATACAAATATTGAAAAGAAAAAACTAGTTGTATAAAACTAAACAATAATTTTCTCAGAGATGATTATATCAGTCTAAAATTCAGTGCTTAGGATCCATTTAATTTTGATGCGGTTCCGTAGCCGGATTCTAGATTCGCACTGGAAAAAAATGGATTCGGATCCAGGTCATTTCTTTCAGATTTACTGAATTTTTTTAACAAAAATAATTTTCAATTTTTTTATTTTTTTTCGCTTATTTTTATATTTTACTCCTTGGATCCGGATCCGTGGATCCACATATTTTTGCGGATCCGGATCTAAGAAGCCAATATCTTGGGGATCCAACGGATCCAGATCCGGATCCTAAGCACTGCAGGTATAAACGATCATAAAATATAATTTACTGGAAGTGATATTAAAATCGAATTATGGAATATTTTTCATCTTTTTATCTTTATAAATCTTTTCTCAAAAATATTTAATCCGAAGTGAAAAAAAATATTAAAATTGATTGGATTTTTGTCATTTTATCTTTTTTATTTATGATTTAAAACTTCCTTTCCCTAGAAGGTCAGGAGAGAAAAAGAAAAGACTCGACATTTTGCTTAAAATTTCGAACAAAATTTTAGGAATATCTTACATTCTTTTTATCCCATAACTTGCTGTTCGCAATTTTGAACAAAATATTTTAAATTTGAAAATCCTGTAAATTGGATATTTATTGTTATAAAATTGTATAGATAACTACAGGATATAAATAGCTAGGACCATGATATACAATGATTATGTTTTATCACAGGGAACAGGAAATGATAGATTATGTCCACTATGAAAGGGCCGAGATATTATATCTATTTAAGTAACTTTCTTGTGTTATTATGCGGTCGACAATATGTTTTTTGCCAAGATGTTAATTTTTTTTGTTTTGTTTAGGGTTTAAATTCAATTTTTTATAATCCCAAACCGATATATCCTTTCTGAAAGACCAGGATATGGAAAGAGTATGTCCTTTCTGAAGGACCAGGATATGGAAAGAGTATGTTCTGAAGGACCAGGATATGGAAAGAGTATGTCCTTTCTGAAGGACCAGGATATGGAAAGAGTATGTCCTTTCTGAAGGACCAGGATATGGAAAGAGTATGTCCTTTCTAAGGACACAGGATGCATATAGACTTTGTCCCTTCTGAAAGACCTGGATATACATAGGATATATTCCTTCTAAAGGACCAGGATATAAAGTAAGTAGATTATTTCCCTCCAGAAGGACCAGGATATAAAGTAAGTAGATTATTTTCCTCCTGAAGGACCAGGATATAAAGTAAGTAGATTATTTTCCTCCAGAAGGACCAGGATATAAAGTAAGTAGATTATTTCCCTCCAGAAGGACCAGGATATAAAGTAAGTAGATTATTTTCCTCCAGAAGGACCAGGATATAAAGTAAGTAAGAAGGACCAGGATATAAAGTAAGTAGATTATTTTCCTGTAGAAGGACCAGGATATAAAGTAAGTAGATTATTTTCCTCCATCGAAGGACCAGGATATAAAGTAAGTAGATTATTTTCCTGTAGAAGGACCAGGATATAAAGTAAGTAGATTATTTTCCTTAAGAAGGACCAGAATATAAAGTAAGTAGATTATTTCCCTCCAGAAGAACCGGGATATAAAATATTATGCCCCTTCTAGAGGATTTACATTACCTGCCACCAACGTTGATCTGTTGTTCTAGGTGTAAAACTACAAGTATCCACGTTGTCATCCACAGCTTAAGTGTAAATATAAATTTAACAATCAAATAAAGACAAGCATTTGTTACTTTATATCCAAGAAAGGAACTGAGTTTTTGCCCAAAACTCAAGTTTTCTAATCCCTATATCTCTGCAACCGGATGGTGTAAACCTTCGATATTTCAAACTTAGATTATTTGATTTAACAGAATTCACAGTTTGAAATTTCAAGGGTCTACGACATTGGGTTGCAAAGAAATAGTGTTGGGAAAAGTTTAGTTTGAGGCAAAAACTCCTTTATTCAGAATTGGATCATGCCAAACCCCCCCCCCCATTTAATACCGTACATCCACCTCAAGGACCAACATCTTTTAGCAAGGGGTTAAAGGGACCATTTCAATTACCATCTTTGCATTGAGATTTGAGGGTCATTTGAAATTAGCTTACAGTCCCTTTACATAATCTGTAACAATTTCTTCTCATTAAGAAAAAAAAATGAAAATTTATAAAAAATATTTGTTAAATCCTTCCCTAATCCTGGTTCGTAACTCCACAGGGTTGCAGATTGTAGGGTAGGTTCCCCCAGTGCAATATTTTCCCCTGAAAACATGATTATTTAACAATATTATCAATTTTGTAATGTATTCTTAAAAAGTCAAGCCTTGTGTAGTAGATGTACAATGTAGAATTATTTGTCTACATCTTTTTAAATGTCTTTATCAGTTTCAATCTGTCTACATAAGTTTTTATATGTCTAAATCTGTCTAAATCTGTCTATATCTGTCTATATCTGTCTAAATCTGCCTAAATCTGTCTAAATCTGCATATTTCAGTCTATATCTGTCTTTGTATGTCTCTATCTGTCTATATCCGTATCTATTAGTGACTAGTCTATATGATAATGATTATAACGCACTCTATCTGTCTATATCTGTTTATATGTGTCTATATCTGCCTCTATCTATATCATATCTGTCTCTATATCTGTCTCTATATGTCTCTATTCGTCTCTATCTGTCTATCTGTCTCTCTCTGTTTCTATCTGTCTATATCTGTCTCTATCTGTCTATATCTGTCTCTATTTGTCTCTATCTGCCTATATCTATATAAATCTGTCAAAATCTGTATATATCTGTCTCTATCTATCTCTATCTGCATATATCTGTCTAAATCTGTCTAAATCTGTCTAAATCTGTCTATATCTGTCTCTATCTGTCTCTATCTTCCTGTATCTGCCTATATCTGTCAAAATCTGTCTATATCTGTCTAAATCTGTCTAAATCTGTTTAAATTTGTCTAAATCTGTCTAAATCTGTCTTTATCTGTCTATATGTGTCTGTATGTGTCTTTTTATAAGTCAATTTATCTATAGTTGATTACTTACTGCAAATAGGTTGGCTTGAAGACCAAGTACCATTTTCAAGGCACCCTCTCCTATCTTCGCCAAACAGAATGTATCCTTTCTTACACCTAGCCAAACCAAACTTTTTATCACAAATTAGAAATACAAGCTTGAAAAAATGTGTTCATATTTTCTAACATAATTTTTGTACTCTTAGAATAATTTCGGTAAATCGATATTATTATACTAACAAAATATAAGTATTTTTTTCTATCATTGTCAAATATCTGCGCGCGTATGCTATATACTTGAATTTATTAATAGAATTGTTGTGCGTAAAGGTTTGTAATTCAAATATTGCCTCTGGCTGCTATTGTTATAAAATGCGTAAGTACGCTAATTTTTTTTACAATTTTGCGTATTAACTACAGAAGCGGAAGGCAATTGCATTATTTTAAGAAATAGTTAGTTAAAAGATCAAGGTATGTGTGTTGGGGTAAGGGTGGGTGGGGGGAGGGTAATTGTAACAAATGCCCCACCAGGTTGTTTTTCTTTTTTTGTGGGAGGAAATGTAGACACATAAGAGCTTAAAACCTTAGAATTGTTGATATCGAGATCAATGCAATATTTCATATTTTTTTGTTAAATTGGTCAAAATCCAGTAGAGATATTCAAAAAGAAGGAAAATGAGCGGATTAAGCATTAATCAAAAGTGTCCACAGCGGATATTTAGATTGAGCTATCCGTATCCTATTCTAAAGTTGTCAGCTCAGTATATATTCCTAAACCTTCTTTGGTAAGAATAAAACACCATAAGCCCCATATCCTTGTTTACAAAAAAGAGTATTTCATGTTCTGGGATTAGGAATACACACAAATATGTAGAGGAGTACTATATTCATCCCGTGAAGTTGGTTCCTAGTCTTTTATTCCTTGATCCTGACTGCTAAATAAATATTTCTTGGTTTGAAGTAAGGGTCATTTTTTTTAAACCAACTTTTCGGTAGAATTGTAATTCTTAAAAAGAAATGCACAAGTCAAAACAAGTATTTTACGTCAAAAAACCTTAAAATCTGGCAACATATTTAGTAACAGATTTAGTAACAGATTTAGAAACAGATTTAGTAACTTTAGGATGATAAAATTAGTTTAAAAACCAACCTCTTAAATTAGTTAAAACTCATAACTTTTAAAGATATTTTCTTATGAGATAATTTTATCAAGAAGTTACCAATTTTAAACAACATTCAAAACTGCTATTTTCAGATTACGTTATTTTGTTTATAAGTTAATTTATTTTATAATTGCCAAATTGTCAAATATCGATCAAGTTTTTAAACTTGTATTTTCATTCAACAACGGGATGTTTTGATATCATCTAATATAAAGTTATAAAAATACAAAGTTTATGTCCCTGTATTTAATTATATCCCCGGGCTGATAAACTTCCTTCCCAGGGCTCTCCAACTCTCCTGAAACAATTATTCTACATTAAAGAGACTGTTCGTGTAATTTTAAGTGACCCTACGTGCAAAGACGACAATTCCAGATTCACAACAGTATTCTTTAAAGCTTTGACACATCAATGTTTATAATCTGGAAAACAGATTTCACGCATTTTTACTGCAAGAAAGAATATAGAAATTATCGGAAATAAACACTTTTAAACTTAAAAAAACGACAAAATCTTCCACAGTATTGATCAGATAAAGGTTTTAAGCGTACCGTTGTGAATTTGGCAAGAAAAAGAAAGATTAAAGATTTTAAGAAAATAATTTTCTTATATGATAACAAAAATGACTTTTGCTTATTTTTACAATCAAAATTTTGTAAAGAGTAAAAGATTTGAAAAAGAATCAAAATCAAAATCAATAATTTTTTTTACAGCATTTAATTTTTCTTTTAATTTAGGGGTGATACAATTTCAAAACATTCATATATTATCAAAAAAGAGAGGGGGGGATTGAAAAACATTCAAACCTATGGAGAAAAAAAATTTTTTACAAATGAGATTCCATAGAGCACTTTTATAAAATAAATAAATTGCTTTTAAACCAGCCGACTTACATGTTAACTATAAAATTGTAAAATTATTAGATTATATAATATTTTGTCATGTTGTTTGGTATGTTCATTAGTTTTATAGTCTTTTATACTTTTCGTTTATATCCTTTCATAAAATTCAAACTCATATTCAGTTAATCTCTGGTCGAGTTAAAGCAAGGTATCACATTTGAAATCTGTTTATTTGTTTTTGTTTATATATTGTTACTTTTATCTTTTTATTCTTTTAAATTTTAATTCTTAAACATTTATTATTCAAATTTCTTATTTTGTATGTTTTTTAGAATATGCCCTGAAGATGGTTAAATAAACCGAATTTTTTTGCAAACACTTCCTGTAATGGATACAAAATTGAATACAATTAGATTTCGTGGGAATTTTTCATCGAATAAAGGGTTTTATGGTAGATAGATAAGATAGGTAGATAGGTTAGGGATTACTTCTGTAATTATATACACTGTTTTCCCGAAAATATGGCTTCGTATAATCTATCTGAAAAAACTATTATTAATATTATCATTTTTCTAGATAATAAGCCAACAAAGAGGAAAACATCATTAGCTCTAACATAATTATAAAATACAAATAAACCTAATATGGCTTTTATCAAAAATATGATTACTTCTGTTTGTTTACTTGTTTGGTGTGTTTGTTGTTTGTTGAGTAACGGTTTTTTTTTGTCTAATTGTTTGAAAATGTTGTTTTTGTTTTGTTTGCATGTTTAGATAGAGGTTGTTTGTTTATTTGATTTTTGATACTGTGGTTGTTTGGTTGTTTAGTATTGTGTTTGTTTGTTCACTTGTTTGGCAACCTGATTATTTTTTCGTTTACATTTTTAGTAATGTGATTAGTTTTTCCGATTTATTTCAACTTTTTTTCAGACTTCTCCTCGATTAAATACGTCTTTTTCTTCTTAATTTCATGATAACTAAACTGAGCTGGGAACTTTAGAATGGTAGATATTGAGATTAATGCTTGATCTTCTCTTTTTCTTAATCTCGAGACTAACCTAATCTTGTGTTTGTATCCTGAAAAATGTATAAAATACAACCAATCAGTCGCGTATATGAAGCCGATAAGTTTGAAATTTTGCGCGCCATTTAAGATTAATATACAGAAACGGGAGGGACTCTCTTATTTTAAAAAACCGGTTTTTGATTTTTCTCTACAATATCCAAGAAAAAGAAAATCATTGGATACTCAGATTAAGTAATTGGGATTAAGGATATCTCATGTTTTCAGCTCTGGGAACTTTAGAATGGGATACCTTTAATCCCGACTGCTTAATCCGAATATTCAATGTGGACACTTTTATTTTTTTTGCTTAATCCACTCTTTTTGGATATAGAACAAAACAATCAAAAACCGGTATTTCAAAATTAGAGTCCCTCCCGTCTCTTAAATGGCGCGCAAAATTTCAAAGGAATTGTGTTTTGCCACAAACTAAAATTTTGTGATCCCAATATCTTTTCAACCTGATGGTGCAAACCTTTGATATTTAAAACTTAGATTATTTTATCTATAAGTTTAATAGTTTGAAATATCTAAGGTCTACGACATTGGGTTACCAAGGTATATGATACGCCACTCTGATTGGTTGAATTTTAAACAGTTTTCAGAATACAAGTACAAGA